AGACTATCTTCACATTTGATAATTCAATGAGGGAGAAAAAGAGAAGTTAAATAATGCAATAATTATGCGAAAGATATACTAATTAAAATAAGAAAGCATGTAATATTTATAAATGGAAGAAATGTACTGGCATTATTTTATCGTGTCTCGCGTGATAAGTAAAGCATTTTACTTATTTCAAATAAGCGATGATAATAAGCAAAAAAAAGTTGAGCAAAATTTTTCTAACATGGAGATTGCTTTATTTACTTGTGAACAACCCAAAACAAATAGTGTTTGTTACGGAAATATTTTATGAGCAATCGATCTTATGAAATGAGGGGATAAAATCATTGGATCCTACAAACATTGTGGTTAAAATTGATGTTTTAACAACGTGTAACTTTGAAAAAGCATTCCCAAATATCAAATATGTGAAAAGTTTTAAAATTTTACACGCGATGTCCCCAACTTTAAGTATGCGTAAAAATATTTCCAACCTTATATTGTTGAAGGTTGAAATTTTCAGACTTTCAGTTTTATAGCATCGTGTAATATAAATTGTTTTTCAAAGAGTTGAATAATATATTGAAAGACAAAGAAAAACGAAAGCAAAAAGTTAAAAAAATAAAAATAAAAATTATATCCCCAAACTGTGTCCCAACTAAAAAATTACCACTCGTCTAATTCGATTAGAGCAATCTCTTTACCTTGCCGCAGGGTTGGATCCAGATTTTTTGTAGGGGGGCTAAAAGTACTTAACAAAGGCAATGTAATAAAATTTACATGTACTAAAAAAATTCATTAAACAACATTATTTATTTAGTCGTTCCTGACGAGGATTTGAAGCATATTATTCATCTATAACATGATCGAGATCGATTTTCTCATCAAGTTCTCTTTCTATAAAAAGTATCATACAATCAGCAAGAAAGTCATCCTCCATTTTGTTGCGAAGTGTCATTTTCACATGTTTCATTGCTGAAAATGCTCACTCGGTGCTTACCATAGAAACGGGTAATGTCAATACAAGACGAATCAATCTAGTCACCATAATGTAACTTTCCAACCTTCCACTCTCAGTCAACTGTCTGCATAACTCAGCAAGTGTAGATACATGAAATCGAGGCTCGCCCTTCATATCTAACTCATAATGTG